AGAAACAAGACAGCATTCACCTGCTTCTTTCGTGAACATCTAGGAGTAGTGCCGTTACAATACACTGTGAAACTCAGTGTATTATTTGTATAGGGAAATTGTGTATATCATTTCCTCTACGTATAAATGAAACGAAACTGAAATACAGTAACTGCTTCAAGCGAGAGGATACAAGCTACAAGAAGATTCCAAGAATATTTAAGCAAATTGCACGGCAACGGAAATTTTGCTTCCCTTATTTTCGAGGCAAGAAGTTCGAAAGTTTACTTTACATCCAAAAACAAATATTTACACAACATTCACAAAAACTTCACAATCGTAGCACTCGGATGAAATACAGGCTTCGACGGCACCTGCTTAAGTACATTTCACAAGCCAGTGTAAATTGATCAGTGAAACGAAATAATAATCATAAAACAAGAATAACTGTAATAAAACTTAGCACTTCATCGTCATGATCACAGCCTCCGTTTCAACGCGAAAACGACGAAAGGTAAAAGACGGTATAACAAAAAAATCATGCCGTAAAAAACAAAGTGCGAACGAAGTAGAGGAAGCAAAAACACTCGAAGACGACATGTCTTTAATTCCAGATTAAAGTGTTCCGCGTGACTGCTGCCGACATACAAGAAACTCGTTCCTCATTTACAAGTGCACATCAAAACTGAGGCGATGACGAGAACGCTCCAAAAAACCAGAAACAAGTGGATAAAAACAAAACCCGTGAAAGCGTATCCGATGCTCAGAACGCAGGGTGGATAGTCGGTGCGGAGGCGAAGTCTGAAAGATGGGTAGGTACCGTCCTCGAAGCACAATTCACGCGAAAGCCAAGTGGGCCAGTTTCGCTCTGTCCGATAATAAGCGACCGACCGGTCGGCCGCTCGTCAGCTATTCGAAACTCTTCTTTGCTTGGGGAGACGAACAGCCATGACAACTGGGGCTTATGAGGTCCGTCGTTGAATCGGGCTGCACCTTCGCCTTTGCCTGTGACGAAGTGGTCGTCGTCGAGTCGACAACTGTACAACAGTCAACCTTAACCGCCACGTTGTGACCCTGACTCGCAACAGGCTGAGCACGCACGTTACTTCCGGAAACGAAGGCCGTTCGACCAACTGCCAAGTTGCTGCTGGTGCCACACGCCCGACTAGCAACCCCGGACCCAAAGCTCTGACTACCATTGTTGAAGAAATAGAACGGATCAGACACTAAAATACAAAATGAGAAGCGAAATTTACTATCTACGCATTGCACGCACATAACTGAGTGTCATTCTTAATTTTAACCAATTTTCTAAACCGGCTGAGAACCATAAAATATAAAATCTTTTACAAACACATCGAATTACGTAGCAGTTTCACGTTTTGCGAATCTTTTCAACTCAGCCCAAACATTAATCATACCTTATTACTTACGGATTTACAGAATGTACATGCAGTAGTACACTGACATGTCTTAAAAGCCATTTCTGTTAGTTTCATTCATTTATAAGGCAACACTAATTTGATTGCAAGATTTAAATATTAATTCAAAGCAATACAATAAATACACTAAAGGTAGAAGTAGTATGAGAAACAACTGAAAAAAGAGTTTAATTTGGCCATTCGATCTTCCACATGAGAGGTTCTCAAGAGATGACTGAGCAACGGCCTGTTTCCTCTCTTCATAAATCATTTGATAACAGGCTAAAACATTACCTCCTTCTCGTTGGACTCTTAAGGCCATGAGAGACGGAGATCCACCTTCTCGCATTATGTCATTCCTACTGAAATTTTACGGAATGTCATTGTCATTTCTTGTGCTACGAACCGTTTCGGTTTCTCTTCCGACTCGAAAGCTTCAGCTTCAGTAATTTTGGCTGCTTCTTATTCAATGAGCTTTCTTCACTTGATAATTCATTCCCATGTGGGTCAATCAACTCTTGGAAATCATGTTATTCAAGCTCTAATTTCAGCTGATAAGCAAGCTTCACTATTTTTCAGTCAAGTCTTAAAAAGTTTTGTCTTTACCAAAAACATGCACAAGCTGCGGAAAAACATTTTTTCTAACCGAATTCATACAATTTTGTATAACCTCTTCCCACGTCTGTACAGTGTTCTGTATAACTTGATTAATATTATAAGACTTTCAAATATGTAGGATTGTTAAATCAGGATCTCTGTTCAATATCTAGCGCAAAATCTCTGTTTGGTTGTTATACGAGTTGACGCAGGCGCGCTAAGCAACATTTTCATAATTCCAAATTTTTCCCACAGTACGTTGAGAATAATTAGCGTAACTTCAGTCTAACTGTAGAACGCTATATCTGACCCGATGGTGTAAAGCCGATTCATTTCCTAAGAAAGAGCTTATCCTAACCAATATCAATGCTTACAATCAGAATTGCATCCATATCATTGAATCACTAAGTCGAATTGAAAGACCGCATCTTCTGAACAAAGGCAGTTGGATGACACTAGAGAAACATTCGACACTTTGACCTTAGGATGAGGGAAGTTGACCTAGAATACGTTAGTTGGAGTTTCCTGTGTCGACTCCATTCTGCTGATGATAAATGAATTGGTAATTTGCAAAACCTTAGTGCGGCAACGAAGAAATAGGTTTCAAATATCTTTTGTTTAGTCAGGATCCAACCGTTAATAATTTAGTTTACACAATCTAACTACCATAATAGCTTATTTTCTTGTTGTTCTGTTTTCGTATCATTTCATTTTTTAGTCCTCCTCTTTCTTTTCTTTTACCCATTTTGCCCTATTTTCATGTACTTAACTTCCACACTGTACTGCCTTTTGATCAGTGGCCCTGAAAATGGAATACTGCCTTGGATGCCAAAAGTTACGACCCTCTTAGAAAGACCTTGACAACTTGCGAACTGTTTCTTCTATGGATTTTCTAACGCAATAACGAAATTTGATGTATAATTTACAACCATTGCCTAAATATCTAAGAAACTTCTTTCTGATGAAACGTGTATTGCTTCTAAAGACTACTAGAAAATTACCGTCTTTGAGGAACGCATGCGATTCTTCAGTGGGGCTGGCGGTACAGTTTGTCATCAACGACTGGATGATGCCGGCGAATTCCGAGTTACTTTCATCAAGCAAGAGTCGGTGAGGGATTGGAGTTGACCGCGGCGTGTTTCGTGGGGTGCTCAACGGGCTGGCGAACAGAAATGCTGTTGGAGACACGAGCCCCGCAGGACCGTTTGACAGACCGCAAACAGGACTGAACGATGGGACAGCGCGGATCTGCAACAGAGAAAAACAAAACGCGTTACGGTCAACCATGTCTGGCGGGAATTTCGAATAACAACCACTCACCTGATGCGATGCAGATGACGTCAACAGTACAGAACTGCGCTGTGAAGCCGCGTCACCGGTCGAAACCGCTGCCGATGCCAACGTTGTTGTACAGGGGGAATCGGAAGAAACGGAAATCACGACGGGATGGAATGATTTGCGAGTGTCGGCGACGGAGCAAGCGCCAACGCAACGGGACAATCCCGCCGGGCCTGAAGATTCACCTTTAACCCCTGAACCGGAGTTAGAAAACCGTCCGGCAGCACTTTTGCTCATTTGAGCTGTTTCGGAGGCGACCATATGCATCACTTCGCTGAAACTCAATTCTCGACCCTCGGGTGTCGTGTATTTCGTCGGACTAGAATAAACCGGCAAGCCCGACGTGGCAGCAGCTGCAGCTGAGCCTGAGATCGAAAAGGCGGTAGTCACTTCTACAATACAATAAAACAAAGTATATTAAACAGACGAACTTTTATCTACTGAAATTCATCTCCAATTCAGCGTCAGCACTGAAGTAAGAATCTTTCAAGACAAGATTTTCGGATTCAGCGGCTGAAGACACAAAGCCGAGAAGAATTAATTTATTCAT